AAGCTGTGGTTCTGTAACATAAATAATCCTTGTTTAAATAACCGACGACGGACATAAATGATGTTAACTGCGGCCCGCTTTGGATATGATGGAATGTTAAATAATGAACGCAGGGGATAATTGAGTGGCAAATTGAATACTTTACGATTACATTCCAATATACTGGACATAAGTAGAGATTCATTATTTTTAATGAGTGAAATATGTATAAAATATACAAGTAATCCAATGTGCAATTAAAAAATCTTTTTTTTTGTTGTCTAGAAAGTGTAAATTCGTAATGACTTGTGTCATGATTCTACAGACTTTAAGATGGATTTTTCATTTGTCGACTTAACAAGACTGTAATAAGGAAGAATACGACACAAACAACATAAAAACCGTTCGCTTTTCGCTAGCGAAAAAGTAACACATAATAAATGTGCAAATATTTCTTGTAAATTGTTGAGGCGTAATTAACGACAGGTAGCAGCCGTCAGTGCGTTCTGCTCACGCCTCAGCGAACACAACACTTCGAATCGCGACAAAGTTCATCTAGGAGGGCCTTGTAAGCACATGGGAAGATTCAAACTAATACTCTTTTTTGCTATTTGACACTAAGCTCAAAATAAGAATTGTAAGTAAAAAGTATAGAACACAAATTCATTTTAAATGTATGAATGAACCGAAGTTTTTTGTGTACAACTACAATGCATCACGTCTTTGGTAATACCTATTTGCATTTTTTGTAATAAAGAACGCAATAATATAATCTGTATAATTTAAATTTTATACAACGATAGTCCAAACTGCACTTCCACACAAACATTTCATAACTAGCACACGAAAGTAGTAACTGTCGGATTTTTTAGTTTCTCCTAAATCTATAGACAAAGAGCGGAATTAAAATTACAACTTAACACACATTTGTGTAACAAAGTGAAAAACTACTAGCTATAATTTGTAAACTACTAAATATAATCAAAAGATATTTTGGTAATGTAATGAATTCCGGTATATCCATTGCTGTTCAAAATTTCAGCCTTCTATCTTCATCCACAATGAAGTTACAAAATAGTGTTTGGCCGTGCTCACATCGGCGGGTGCACTACCGTGCACTTAGATTACTTCTTAGTGTAAAATCTCAGTAAAATTGAGTTGAACACTATGAATGAACGTTAATAGGTCGGTGGTTCTGTGAGGAAGCGGCTCTGGGGCAGGGTTGCGGTGCCGACCGCACGACGACCGTGCCTCCGCATCCGCATAAATCTCCGCGACCGCCAATTAAGGCCGCAACGACAATTTGTTCCCGACACCGCCCGCCTCCGCCACTCGACACGGACCGGGCCCAAACTTCTATTAGATCGATAGTTCACTCGACGTTGACGATAGCCTATCTGCAGATAACTTTTGTTCTATGCCACAATTCGGAAGCGATTAACTAATTACAACACGAGCCCTACTAACTTAGTTTACAGATTAACACTTTTTTGTAAAAACGTTTAGAGACATGGAATGTCTGTGTTATTATCTATCCTAATACGAGTTATAAAGATGAAAGATTTCTTTTTTGTATGTATAGAAATAACTCAAAAACTACTGGGAAGATTTCAAAAATTCTTTTACCATTAAAAAACTACGTTATCAGTTAGTAAAATAGGTTATCAGTTTTTAATGTCACGCGGACGAAGTCGCAAGCAATAGCTAGTTTTTTTAATACGAAAACTTCACCATATTTACCGAGCGGAAAATCTTAACCTTTTAAATGCAAAAACATCAAAGATAAAGAACTATTCTCATGCATATTAAATATAATCCACGTCAGTAATGTGTTTCGATTTATTTATAAGGTTGTTGCGTTCGCTGAGGCGGCGCGGCGACGCGTCGTTAGGAGTCGCGTCTCGTATGTCATTTTAAGGATGTGTCAAATTGAAGGCTCCGGCGGGCGTCATAGCGAGGGGAGACTGATTTATGCTTCGGGGCCCCGGCTTCGATTAGAGTTTTATTCACTCGGCCGAGGTCAGTTTTCTTGGCCTTAATCTCCTTATTTCTTAAGTGTTAAGAAAATAGTGAAAATAGTAAGCTTATCCTTACTACCCGCTTGTATGAACTGCAAGTGGATTAGTAATATAGTGTATGAAAGCATTTACAGTAGCACAGTTTGTAATTCTAAGAAACGATTACGGTTTTAAAATATTCTATAAAGCATTTTTGCTCTTGTCTTCCTAATCTAAGGTAATGCTGCATGAGGGTAGACATAATTGCATCTTCCCGGCCGAGCTGTCATCGTCGTAATGTAGTTTATAAACTGAACTCCGTTAGGAGGAGAATCACGACGTTAACGCAATAAGGGTCAGCGACAGCGGAGTCTGCGGAGGCAGTAAATGACCGAGCCTCAAGTTTGGAAGCGGTTAAGCGCACTTCACTCACATCAACACAACACAGATATAATTTTATGTTCTTGCTATCCTTGTAATTTTAACATTTGTTTTGCTAAAAATATAGGATTATTACCGGAGGCATGATTTTAGTCCCTTTTTCTATCCACCCTTTTCATAAGATGGAAGCAAAAGTGGATTTGATGGTAGAGGAGAAGCTTAGGAAGGGATATAACCTTCATTTGCGTCTTCTGCGTCGATTAAGGTTAGGCAACACATCTGCAATTGCGGATGTCTATGGGCAGCGGTCGGTTCACCTTTCGGCAGACTGAGGTGGCCACTTGCTCGTTTACCAACTTATGAATAAAAAAGTATACAACCAAAAAACTGTTGATACACATAAAGAAGAGAGTATAACAGTATATAACAAAATACTAAGATTTAATAATAACTAACTCCGTAGTCTCCTAGTACAGAATATTTTTAAAAGAAAGAATATTAAATCTTGCAAGTAACGTTATAACAATATTTGAATTCTCCATAAATATCACGGTAGTAATTTAATTGTGTAGACAAAGGCATAGTGCCCTTGTCTTTGTAAAGTATACATTATTGCTGTGATATGTAGCCGAGTTATCATCAAAGACTTCAGTATTGGCGTTGGCAGGTAATATTTTCTGCTCCATCTTACACGTCTTATTTTTTATTAAAATGGGAAGAAGCTTATTCAGTATTATGCAACATCTTGACATTTCTTAGTTTCACTACAAAATTGCACTATTCGGATAAATTTTATATATCAACTAAAAAAACTCTTAATATAGTTCTGGTAAATTATAATCAATCACAAGTCAATTGACAGTGAGTAAAATTCGATGGACTGAAACAGTAACAACCCAAAATAAAGTCAATATGTAAGCGATTTTTAACGCTCTCTAAAGCAATAATAAAATAAAAAGAAACGAACGTTTGATTAGCTGTGGTCAAAAGTAATTGTGTGTACAAATATCGTTGTAATAATAAAATTCTACATTTGATCAACTGAGAAAAGTAATAGATGAAACTACACTAGCTAAGGCTAGTACACTAGGACTGAGTTGTTTTTACGGGGCCGGGGCGGCCCTGCCTTCGGGGCTAAACTAGCCCCCTCTCGGGGGGGTCACGGTGCCGTTTTCAATTTGCTTTATTTGCGCTTGTTTTAATAGCGCTCACTCTCCTTATTGCTTGCGCGGAGGACCAACCAAATTGCTTCGTGCCCGGGCGCCTTTTGATTAAGGAGGATCACGCGCTGCGAAGCAAGAGTAAAAACAAAGTGGACGATTGCTTGTCTAAGGAGTTATGAAGGGCAAGATACGAGGTACAGACACTGCATAAGATATAATCAAAGAGACTACTGTTTAGGCACATTATTAGACAAGACTGCCATGAATCAAATATCTCTACGCCACATAAATTAGGACTAGCCGGATATGTTTTAGATCTCAGTAAAGAATTGTTAACTTAACTATCGAAGCATTCATTTCTTAATTAAAACCAGTAATTATTTCATTATTCAATCCAAGAATATAGGAAATAAAAAATTATAAGATTTTTGCTACATTAAGAAGCAATGAAAATAAAACGTATATCGTTGCACCCAATTGAACCTGTATCAAAGTAAAAGCTCGGTCGTTAACTTGACAATATTTAAACAGCATTAGTGTCGCTATAAAGAGACTTCAGTGACGTTCGTTGGCAAATAAACGAATGGGACGTAACAAAAAATAACGAGCAATAAACATACGGTAGCAAGTACAGTCGGTGTGAGTATAATTTAATGATTGTGCGGTTCATTGGTGCGGCCGTGCGTGTCAACAAGGGCGGTCGCCGCGTTCCGTTGTCAACAATCAAATGAACTAAAATTACCATAATGATTGAAGTGCGCGATTGTACCTGGACTGTTGCATAATATAACGACATATTCCCATTGACGATTTAATTTTTCAACAAAAACAATGTGAATATTGATAGATATCTTAGGTAGAAGAGATATGAAGGATGAGAATAGAGTGATGAAAATTGTGATGGATAGGAATCACGGTCTTAAAATAATAATTAAAACTATATCGAGATATAAATTGTACATTCATTCATAGAAGACCCGCAAAGGGTTAAATGACAACCGAGAAAATTCATCCATAAGTAATATTATTGAAGAATCCTTACTAATATCAACAATTACATAAAGAAGTCTGACAATATAAGTTTGGTACACAAATTAAAGGTATTTACTGATGGAAATAAACATCAGACATCCTCATATTGATGGTTATTGTAAACGAGCCCTGCGACTCTTCAATGTCCTAATTAATATCACGCGGTCCACAACTGAGTACTTTTCAATAAACTGACGCGAGCCACGGACGCTAATTGGATGCACATATTGTTCGCGAAAATTAAACTAAATACAAATGACCTGAAAGACATTTTGTTGTATAACAAATTGTGTTGCGGGTGTTAAAAATGCTCTTTGAGGTGGAAAAAAACAGTATATCAAATGAACTTAATTTAAATCACATATTGAAATTGATAAAACATTTACCATCGATTTAAAGACCAAATAGCAGACTTCTACGCATTTTATCATCAATGCCTTACCTTAACCAATGTCGTTTGGCAATGGACGTATGGCAGCAAATCGCGTCATACTGATCGGCTATCCACACGATCAGTATAATATAGAAAGCTGTCGTTGTATCGTTGAAGAACTCCGACATTATCGCCTCCATACCTGTTAACAAGAAATTTACTATTAACTTTACAAACAAAGATTATCACCGAGTATTAATATTCTGTGGTATCTGGGAATAAACCGTTGTTAATAAATCGTAAGAAGTTAAAGCATAAGATGGAAGATACGCCTTTAATTCTAGTATTCGATACCCCTAAAAAGAGATAAACACAATATCGAATCTTTCCTGGTTAAACTGTTTCTCTTCAAAGGAAAATTAATATTGCAAAACTACAACATCCGTACAACTTTAAACGTCTAGTTCCTTTAATATGAAGCAGGCAAGACATCGCAAGCCGCAAGTTATATCCAGCATCTCTTAAAGCGACGCCAGGGTCGTCGTGACTATAAATATGTGTGACACGGAGTCGTGTCGTGTGTCGGCGTGCCGGCGTACCGGGGCGTCGGACTAATTAGGTGTCGGCAATTACCCGCTAACGACCGAAATCCGAACCCAACACCGCTACTTTATTAACCACATGCAACGAGCCACGGCGACCGATTCATTCCCCGGCTTTCTCTTAGACGGTGCAT